TTAAGTCTCCTCTAAAACTGTGATGGGTCACAGCTTTTTCACTGAGTTGCTTTAGTGTGCCAGCTTGTCACACTGCTATCGCGGAATTTTAGTGGAGCATTTAAATTATCTATAATAACCCCAGAAAATCCCACTTTTTATTTGGCACAGATTTTTAAAGCTACCAGTTTTAGTTTTAGTATAATTTCTAAAATAAGAAAATGAAAGAGTGCACCAAACAAGAAAAAAAATTTAATGCTATGCTTCAATTAACCTTTAGGGACTAGAAAACCATGCAAAATAGAATACACACTTGAATTTAGTCCCATTTAAATCAATGATGAAGCATACACTGCCATCCTTGGATATATAACTATTTTCCTCAGGATAATATATGTCCTCTCACTACGTTGCCTTGCCTTTAAAATTATATTTTTGTTTTAAAACTAAGTGTTTTGTTATAATTTTATCCTAGGAAGATAAGAAAGGCATTACAGTGAAAGACACAGTCTTTTGTTGTACTGGCAAAAAGACAAGCTTTTGAACACCATTCTTGGTAGCACCATTTCTTGTATCTTTGATAAATATGTAGGACAGTATTGAGCATTGCATGTTCTTAGTTTCAGTGGCATATTCACTGATAATCTAATTATCATTCCATTTAAAATGTTTATACATAATGGAAGCAAAGGCTTCCACCTATATTCTGATCATTTTTAAATCTTTATATCTTATTTAATTCAAGATAATAATAATTCTCCACATTCAGTACTGACTCCTTTGACCTATACAGATGATGAGTCTACCCACTGCTGGTGTTACATTATTATCTTTCTTTTCCATTTATTTCTCATTCTTTTTAATTCCTACTCCTTTCATCTTAACAGGCAGAATCTAAAAGATAGGGAAAATTTAGAGGAGATGATGAAGAATATGATATGACTAGATAGGTAGGATTAGCATTTGAGATAACAGAGCTAAAATGTGGTGATGTAGTCTTCTGAATTAACTTGCAGCTTCCCTTTGCATTCTCTTTTTCTAAGGATAGAAAGCCAGCGGCTGCCTTTCTTCTATTAATCATCAAAGATACTAGTTTTTTTCCTGTATAGAAGCCACCAGAATTTTTCATTGCTTTATTGTCACTCAGAAAGTATATAATTCTGGACCTCAATCTGTAGTAGTCAGACAGCATCAGCATCACCCTGACAGATGCGATGGTGCCCAGTAGCCATTCAGATTGAGAAGTTGGCCACTTCAGTTTCTCCAGTATGATTTCTGCTTTACTGTGATCAATACTCAGAAGTGTGGCCCGCTTAGGCTCCAATTTTATTTGGAATAATTTAAAACAATTAGATAGACTTGTGTCCTGAAGTAGCAGTTTGCTATTAGGGAATACTGAAGATTTTTTCCTTTTGAAAATAACCTAAAATAATCTTTTGCTGGAGCGAAGTAGTGATGGATGATTTTGTTGCCCAATTAACTTTCTGTGTGGGTGAGAGAAGTCCTGGGGTGTGTTTGGATTCCTTCTGAAGCAACACTTGCAGCTTTTTGTCCTTCCTGCATAATGGAGACAATTGGCTTGGACACAACTGTCCTGGGGACATGATAGAGAAAAGCTGAGCAAGCCATTCCTTGATTTTCCCCTTCTCTGCCATATTTCTTGACCTTGAGTAGAACAAAATGTCTTCCTAGGTGCTCAGTTTTATGGAAATGTTTTAACATCTCTTTTCAGTGACTATGGGTGTATTTGCAAAGTTGTTTGTGGATCTTGTAGCTGTTTGTAGATTAATGAAGAACCTTCCTTTCTTGAGCTCCCACGTGTGCTTCAGGGAAAACAGAAGATGAATTGTTATTAAAAAGGGGTCATTAGTAAAAGAATCAAGCTACCCAAGTTTAAAGTTTTGCTGTATTTCTGAAACAATGTCATACCTCCTTGCTGTTCTCTAATATGTTAGGTAGAACAGTTGACAAATGAAAAACTAGTAAGGGCTATTAAGAATTCAGGGCCTGAATTTGATAGTTTTCTGTGTTTTAAATCCATTAATTTCATTACAGTTACACCTAATTTACGACTATGTGAAAACCAAGCATTAAGTTTGACTTGTATTTTTAGTCTTTATTTCTAACAATTTGCAAGCTACTAGCACGATACTGTCTGCCTAATGGAGCAAATTGAAGATGAGTGACCGTATATTATGTCACTGTATATTTAAAATAAATGTTTTCAGTTTTTAAAATGAAATAATGAAAGTTTTTTCATTGCAGCGTTAATAAAGCATATGACTGTCATAAACTTAATTTACTTTTATAGGCACTGTAAAATGCAGCTTCGTTCTTAACAAATTAAACTTTTTTTAGAGAAAGAAGTGGATTTTTTCCCAGTGTTTCACAAGTGTGTAATAGAAATGGAAACTGAAAAAAAAAAAAAAAAAAAAAAGAATTAATTCATCGGGAACAACTATGCTGAAATTCAGATTGTCCCAGTGAAATCTACAACCTAATCGGAAAATTTGTTTTACAT